CAGGGAGCCCGATGCGGGACTCGATCCCGGGACTCCAGGATCATGACCTGAGCCGAAGGCAGTCGCTTAACCAACTGAGCCACCCAGGCGCCCTCACTAGTTTCTTTTAACTTTTTTAATGTGGCTGCTAAAACACATGTGACTTGCAATTACATTTCTATTGGACAGCACTGTTCTATACTGTTTAAAAGATAAAGCATCCCTTTCTTCCTCCAGTGCTCTTTCATTTACCTCACTCCATATAAGCAGTTCTAAAATTCTGATTCTAATATAAACAACTACCTCATAAGAATTCGGGTCATCAAATATTCTTTCAAAGACTTCTTCCGCTTCTTTAAAATTGCCATTTTCCATACAAACAGCTATAGCCTAAAAGACAGGATGACAAATACAAACCTTAGATTGCTTTTTAAAAATGTATAATTGTTGTTTAATATTGAAATAAGTCCTGGTTAAGTCTCAACTACTTCACTTAAAAATTTTGATACATGATATAAAATATCTTTTCAAAGATGAAATAACTGTGGTTTGAAAAAGATGTAAAAATTTTTCATTGGCCCCTTTGCATATTTACTGATAAATGCCCAAGCATTCCAGCTCTTTCAAATTTAGCCCAATTAAAAGCAGACATTAATAAATAAATTAGGAGCTACATTATGTACATTTAGGACCCACCTAAATATTACTTTGAGCAAAAGGGAAATGAGAGAGGAGGTAGATGGCGTTCATGACAATTAGGATATATAAAATTAGCTAGCAGGATCCCCGGAAAATCTCTAATAGAAACCTAGGAAGCCAGATGCTTCTGAATGATCGATTGATAAACTGGTCTTTCTAATACAGTATGTAGTAAAATAGGGAACCATCGTTACCATCTGGGTAGCTTTGGCAAGCAATTTAACCTCATGTGCCTCTTGTTTCTTTGTATGGAAAATGGTGGAGATAATAGTACCTATTCGTAGGGCTGCCGTAAGGATTGGAGTTCTACATGAAAAGTGCTTAGAACAGTACCTGACAAAGAGTAAGCAATGTATTGCATATTTGCTATGTATTTATGGCAACCCACTCAACTTTATACTAGTATATTAATGATGGCCTCCTTCTCTAGAACCCCCCAAAACTGAGGTAACATAACATATCTCTTTGTCCCAGGCTGAAATTCTTAAAAGTAGCAGTCATATTTCTGCCATTCTCTTCTGGTCTTAATTCTACTTGGCAGTCATCATACTAACAATAATTAATTTTGGGGAAGGTGAGATATCATCTCGATTTTCTCTCCTACCCAACCATAAAATAATTTTCTAAAAATGAGGACAAATTTATTTAACTAGAACAATCCTTAGTATTTGCTTTGCTTGTTAGCAAAACATACTTTCCCTGCTACTGTATCTTTGAATAACTTTTTTAGCTTTTCACTCTTTAATAAGGTGACTCCTAAAATTCCCTCTACATAGTTAAAATTTTACATTCTCTTATTTACAAAAATCCATTGATTTCTTTTTAAATATTCTTATTTCTTTCATATTTATCATCTTGAATAGAAATTGGGAGAGCACAAATCACTGGTTTTTGAAAGCTGCTTTATGATCTTTAAATCAATGTTATGTATTTTCTCAAATGGGGGCAATATATACTTACGTAGCAAACAGTAAGTCCCTGTTCTCAGAGCTTGCGTGAAGACTATAAACCAAAGGTCAAATTTCTGAAGAGAATGATTATATTAAATTTTACTTTGGGTTTACTACTCAACTTCCATTAAGTGGTTCTTAATTTCTTTAGATGTTATATGCAAAATAATAATAATAATGTAATACACATACCTGAATTTTAATTAAATTCTGTATCTCTTCATGAAGTTTGTCATGTTCTTTTTCAATGGAAGCCCAAATTGTCAGAGCTGATTCCAAGGGTGTAATTCGTTCATCAGTTTCAAACTGTGCATCTTTTAAAATCAGGACAAAAATAACTAACTTAGGAAGTGAAGTAGAACCTTACACTTTGTCAATTTTTTATGATTTCATTTCTTTAAATATTTACTGAGTATGTACTATGTGCCAGGTACTATTCCAGTCCGTATACAAAAGTTTAGGCAAGTGATTTGATTTTTCAAGTTAATTTCCTTTGAAAAACTAGAAGGAGCATGTAATTTAAATGTTAGCAGTTTCAACAATTTCTACTTTGTAGAAACAATTTCCTGTTTTCTCCTAATTGTTTCTCCAACATTTTAAACATAAAAATATCTTAATTCATATACAAAAAAAGTCTCTTTATATTCCAGGCCCTGTGCCAGATACTTAGGATCAGACCAGGAAGAAGAAACAGTTCCTGCCCTTATGAAATTTGCACGCTAGCTAGGAAGAAAGACAAACCAATGTGACTGGTACTTTACTAGAATTATGTATTATGCTGGTGATTGTCAACCCTACCTATACCTCAAAATCATCTGAGGAGCTTTTAAAAAAATTCAGATGCCTAGACCCATCCTCTAGAGACTGGTTTAGTTAGTACAGGGTACAGCCCATGCATCTGTATTTTCTAAGAAGATTAGTTCTATTAAAGGATACTAACAAAGAATCTTTTATGAAAGAGAAACCATCCAAATTAGGACACTGAGGATAAACAGGAGATAACTAAATGAAGAGGATAAGGATGGGAAGGAGAACATTTCAGGAAGGCAGCAGCAGAACATAAGACAGAGGACAAAAGATATTCACACTCATAGTCAACACATATTAAGGTCCTACTATGTGTTAGGCACTATGCTAAGTGTTTAACATGCAGTAGCTCCTTTATCCAAACAATTTCTTTAAAAGGGTATATAACATTATCAACCTTGTCTTATAAAGTAGGACCTGAGACTTAGAGAGGTCACACAGCTAGCAAGTAGAAGAAGCAGACACCAGAACCCTTAAAAACCACTTACTGTGTCTCAGAAAAAAGGTGTGTTTCAGGAATAACAAGATGCCTGGTAAGGCTAGAGTATGTGCTGGAAAACATTAAATATGAAAATGCAAAGGCAGATTGCCTAATCCTTCTTCATTTCACATTTGTTTTTCTTTTAAAAACTCACTTCAATATTTGTATTTCCTATTAAGTCTTTCTTGACTGATATTATCTAACCCATATCATTAATCTGCTGCCTTCTTATAAATGTGAAATGTAGAAAAAAATGTACTTATAGAAAAAAGTGTTAGATCTTAACTTCAAAAATTTTAGAGTAGCCTTTTACTTTCAGGTAGAATGCAGGATATTGCAGTAGGCCAATGCTCCCATTACGACCAGAAAAAAGTGGAATAAATTGCAAAATTATATTGCTAAAGACATGGGATAGTAGTGGAAGCAAAAAGAACTAGATGAACTACATTTCCAGGGTTTAGTGGATGATTTGCAGCTTTTCTTTCCTGGCCTCATTTGCTTATAAGGATGAGGATTCAGTGTATTCCAGGCAGGGAGATTTTACTGGGGTAAGAGAAATGAGGAAAAGCTCCTGGTGGTTTCCTTGGGACTAGTTGGTGGACTGGAAACTAGAGGAACTGAAACACATGGTTGGTTTTCCCCTCAGGACACTTGCTGAGTTCTGGGGTGCTGTAGAAAGCTGGAGTAGAAAGGAAGGGAAGTCTCCCAGAGTTGCACAGATCTTAAAAAATAAAATCCCATGAGATGAGGGTGGCTGCCATAAACAAACATTTCCCCTACAAGACATTTACCGTATTTTAAAGTTATTTGCGGCAGGAAACTAAAGCTAATGTGGTAACCACTGGCCATATATAATTAATGAGCCGTTAAAATATGGCTAGTTCCAAATTGAGATGTGCTTTAAGTTTAAAATATACCCCAGATTTCAAAGACTTACTGCAAAAAAAGGGGTAAAATATCTCATTAACATGTTTTATATTGATTATATGTTGACATATATTTTAGAAATATTGGGATAAATAAGATACTGCTAAATTTAATTCCACCTATTTCTTTTCAATTACATATGTAGCTCATCTTATATTTCTAGTAGGCAGTGCTGCTGCTGAGCAACCACTTAAAAAAAAGGCAAAGAGTTATGTACAGCTAAAAAACCAACATATAAATTGAAATAAAAATTTTTTTTTTTTTTATTTGAGAGAGAGAATGAGATAGAGAGCATGAGAGGAGGGAGGTTCAGAGAGAGAAGCAGACTCCCTGCCGAGCAGGGAGCCCGATGCGGGACTCGATCCTGAGACTCCAGGATCACGACCTGAGCCGAAGGCAGTCGCTTAACCAACTGAGCCACGCAGGCACCCTGAAATAAAATTTTGCTGTTTTCACTTGAGTTCATTATGGTGAAATACATTGATTCTTGATAATTGACATGGGCCTATTCTAAGATATACCTACAAGGGGATCCTGGTGAATTTCAATATTAATGGGGTTACACACAAAATCTGCATTTCTTTTCAGAAAGAAAGGGTTGTCAGGGGAGAAAGTAAGATCCACTGAACAACTGCTAACATGTGAAACACAGTTGGGCACTTTATGTTGTCATATTTAATTTAGAAAACAAGTGTTAACAACCATGCTAACTTACTGTCTACATGGTCAGGAATTCTCCAATTACGTCCACATCAAGATGGTTTTCTTCTTTAGCTACAGGCCCAGACTACCTATAGTTCTGTCTCCCCTACATTTACTCTGCTTCTAGTCCTATTCACTTATGGTCATGGCACCAACTCCAGACCTGGCCTCACCCCCAACAAGAAGCATGCTATGTGAGCCAGAGCTAGGTAGCGAGGGCCATGAGAATGGTACAAACACACTGGGATTTTATGTAACACAATAGGATTGTAAGTAAGTGGTTTCATTTTAAGTACCGCCTACCACTTGGCACTGTTGGGAAAGCATTTTGTATACTGTAAAAACCAACATAAATATGTAATTATTTGCATCAAAAGGTCCTTTAAATGACCATGTTGTAAATATCAGCCATTACTCATAAACTGAAGCAGGCTTACCCATTACAACCTAAAATAACCTGTGGAGATAAAAGAGAGAGCTATTATAGCAAAAATCATATTCACCTATCTAAAGAAGTGCTGAAATCCAGTTCAAATAAGAGGTGTCAATTATCAGAGTTGCTACTAAAATCAGTGTGTATAATAGTAAGAGTCACCACAAAGTTACCGTACAGTCAAATCTGACGTAAACGCTCCAAAAGACAGTCCATGAAGCGGGGCTCCCCAAGAGCAGTGTCAGAATCACCTGGGAACTTATTAGGAATATAAACTTCAGGGCCCCTCTTATCCAACCTATTGCATCAGGAATTCATGGTGGAGAATTTTTTTTTTTTTTAAACAAGTTCTCTAATAATTCTGAAGCAAGCTAAGTTTGACAACCAGTGCTCTAAGAAGATTGGAACTATATTTCTTTTAGTTGCTTTAGATATGTTTGTGTAGATGAACGTACCAAACACATAGTGTCAACTCTCAAAAATAACAGATCTCATCTGTTTCTTCTCATTGTTTTACCTTTATACATAGATTAAAATATTTCCAACAGAAGATAAAAACACATACTTACCGAGAGATTTTCCTGCTGCAATTCTTGTCAAAAACTGACATATGTATATAGTTCTCAATTGATAAGCTGTTAGACTGGACATTCCATGGATAATAGCTGAAAAAGAAAAACATTAAAACATTTTTTTTAAAAAAGCCAAACTTGACCCAGCAGTGCCTCTGTGTGGTTGGTTGAGTAATTAGGTTACAAACATGCAAAAATGATCACAAACTGAGAGCTGTATGCTTTTGTTTATAGGCATTTTTTTTTTTAAAGATTTTATTTATTTATTTGAGAGAGAGACACAGCGAGAGAGGGAACACAGCAGGGGGAGTGGGAGAGGGAGAAGCAGGCTTCCCGCGGAGCAGGGAGCCCGATGCGGGGCTCGATCCCAGGACCCTGAGATCACGACCTGAGCCGAAGGCAGACACTTAACGACTGAGCCACCCAGGCGCCCCTATAGCATTTTTTTAAATGAGAAAAAACAGCAAAGAACACTTTTCTTACAAAGTAAAACAGATTTCCACATGCAGAATAATAAATATTTAATAGTACTTCCACAGGTAGCACTCCATACTAACAAAAAGGGAGATTTAGATTCAAACTGTAAAATGTGTCAAATCATTAGCTGGAAGCTTTATACCTTAAACTCCTAATACTGTAGGAAATATTTTATATTATTTTGGTCAAGGTTTCAGTTAAGTGAGTCTGTTAAGTTCACAAAAACTTAAAAAATATATATTTATTGGGGCAAGATGGCCGCAACAGGGATGGCCCAGGTGGTGACGGGGTGCTAGACCCTAGGCCCCGAGCCTTTCCCAAGGGCCGTGCGGGTCCAAAGAAGTGAGCTCACAGCCCAATCCAACAAACGTGTGTTGGCCTTTCTCGCCATGGGGATGTTGCAATAAAGCCTCTGCCCCAACAGGCAACTCCAGCATTCTGCAGCACTGACCTGGAAGCCCCGACCTGCAGTATAAGCGCCAGAGGGAGGCAGGAGGCCAGTCAAGCTGGTCCTGCTGTCCCGACAGATGCATGCGACACTGAGCACCCCAGGCCTATGGGCCCAGGGAGGCATGGCCTCCCTCAGGGCAGCCACCTCTGCTGGTTGCACTGCGCTTTCACCTTAACACTCTGCTATAATGCTCTGCTAAGCAGAGGCTCCTGGGAAAGCGGAGAAGTGAGCACGTTAGACCTTCCATGCTGGCTGGTGGAAGAGTCTGTGGTGGCAGAAGAAGGCACTCCATGTTCTAATTCCCAGGCTAAAACCACCTCGAGTGTGGTTTCTCAGGGCATGTGGAAAAAAATCATATTCAGCTCATCTAAGAGGAATGTTCAAAAGCTGCCACTCAGCTCTAATGTAAAAACACTTATTCTGGAAATTCAAAGGGGCTGTCGTGGGTGTGGCCTTGGTTTTTGCTTTGTTCATTGGTGACAGCTGGAAAGAAAAGCTCTGGAAAAGGTCTGGAAGCAAATCGAGTCCATCTAGCTACCTCTTACCCTTTGATAGAGGTCTTAAGGATTGTACCTGACACAGAGACAGTACAATGAATGGACTTATGCCCTTCATTCTTGGGAACTTGTGGTCACCCCCTTCTTGGTCTCCTGTCTAGATCATCAACCTAGCAAAATAAAGATAATAGTTCCCTTCCCTATTGTAATTTGGTTTGGGACAGGAAGTCATGGGGGCAGACATGGAAAGGGGGTAGCAACTTTAGGCCCCCAGTTTACCAACTACCTATCTTCCCCTTCTGCTATTGGTTTAAAACTTTCAGGATACAATTTCAGCAAAAAAAGTTTATTTCTCCATCAAAACCTCTGTTTCTCCACAACCCTAACTCCAAAGAAGAAAGAAAATTGCAGATGTATAAAAACAAACACATTTATTAATATTAATCTCCCAAATATTTGAGTGCCCACCCAGATGTTATGTTAGGCAGTGAGTATAATGGTGTGTAAACCATAATTCTGGACCTCAGTGAATTTATTACTATGTAAAAATGAAAGACAAATGATTAAGCAATTAAAGTAAAAACATGGAGAAAACTGAAAAAGACAAGTACGGAATGCTGTGGGTGCAATATAACAAACCTTAGAGTGTGTTTTAGTATAGTTGGAGGGAGAAGATAGGAAAGCTTCTCTGAGGAAATAATGTTTAAAGTAAAACCTGAAGATGCCACTGTTATACTTCACCCAGGGCTTGGTTGGTGTATGTAAAGATTAAATCAACTAGCAAAACCAAAAAGCAGTCCTGCAGCTACTAAGGAGATAAAAGACAAATACATTTATTTGTATTTATTTCCTCAATTCAAAAATAGCATAATCTTATACTATACTAGAGATTATCTGGGCCAAATACAGCCACAATTTAATTAAACAGGATGCAGAGAGAGCACAAAATTTATATAAAATTTAAACAATTCATTCAATATTTATTAAACATCTACTGCTAGTCAATGTTAGGGGCTGATAAGACAGTCAGCCTCCTGGGGCGCCTGGGTGGCTCAGTCGTTAGGTGTCTGCCTTTGGCTCAGGTCATGATCCCAGGGTCTTGGGATCAAGCCCCGCATCGGGCTCCCTGCTCAGCGGGGAGCCTGTTTCTCCCTCTCCCACTCCCCCTGCTTGTGTTCCCTCTCTCGCTGTGTCTCTCTCTGTCAAA